AAACCTGACTTGAAGAAGGTTTTTGACATTAAGGCCTTTGTTGTTTCCACTGCTGCATATGTCACAATGTTTTCCTTAAATATAATGTTCAAAGTGACCAGGTGTTTTGTGGGAGATTTGAGACCCTTCCATTTTCAGGGAAGTACAGTCACAGGAACCTTTGAAATTCCTTTAAAAATACCATAAGAGGAATGAGAAGAAAATAAGCAAAAAGTATTTGCAAACACGTCTCACAAAGAACTATTGCGCAAATATGGGAAGCACTTTAAAACATCAAAAATAAGAACACAACCTGATTAAAAAATAGGAAAAAGAGATAAGCTGACCATCAAAGTGCACAGATAGCAAATATGCACATGGAAAGGCATTCCACATCAGAAAGCTGCAAATTAAAACAATGCACAATATTTGCACATCCCTTGCAGGGGACACAGGTCTTGGGGCTGGAGAAATGGCTCAGCAGCCAGTAGCTATCCAGAACTGGTTGCTCTTGCAGAGGACCCAGATTTGATTCCCAGCACCCACAAACATGGCAGCTCACAACCTTCTAACCCCAGTTCTAGGAGATCTGATTCCCTCTTCTTGCCTGTGTGGCCATTGTAGGCACATGGTGCTCAGGTACAAAGACAAACAGAACACCCATACACATTAAAAAGTCCTAAAAAGCAACAGCAGGGATCCTTAGTGCTTCTAAGGAAGAAAAAATGCAGCATCATTTTAGAAGATATTTGTCATTTTTTAGTAAAATTGCACATCTTATCCTAAGATCCAGAAATCCCATTCCTTCATATTTATATACTGGGTTAGAAAACATATGTCTACATAAAACCTACACATATGTATTAATAGCATATTCTCTTTTTTTTTTGAAACAAATTTTTTACATCCTTTTTTATTATTCAGTTTACATCTGGATTGTAGCCCTCTCCCTCCTCTTTTCCTAGTCCCACCCTTCTTTCCTTTTCCCTTTCCCCACCTCCCCTACTCCTCAGAAAAGGGGAGCCCCTTCCCACCAGCCTACCCCAGCATATCAAGCTGAATCAGGGCTGAGTGAATCCTCTTTCACAGAGGCTTGGCAAGGCAGCCTCACCAGGGGGAAGTGATCAAAAGCAGGCAAGAGAGTCCATGTCAGAGACAGCCCCATTCCCCTTACTAAGGAGCACACATGCAGACTAAGTTGCCCATTGGCTACATCTGTGTAGGGAGCTTAGGTCCAGTCCATACATGGCCCTTGGTTGGTGCTTCAGTCTCTGTAAGCCCCCAGTAATATATTCTTTCATCATTGCCAAAAACTTGGAAGCAATAAGATGTTTGTTCTTCAGTGAAATACACACACACACACACACACACACACACACACACACACAAACAGGCACATTCATATAATGTATATTAATTAATCAGCACTAAAAGATGAGTTACAAAACCATGGAAAGACTTGATATAAACTTAAGTACATATACCATGTGGAAGCAATCAGTATAAAAAGGCTATATACTGTACCTATAATGAAAATTTTGGTTTCTTTGTATGTCATGTAATTATAGTTTTGATTTAATTTCTGCCAGAGCCTGCGAGCAGGCAGAGTCAAACAGTTCTTGAGTGGGGAGTGAGGACTGAAAGAAAGTTAATAAACCAACACTACACATGGGATTTGTCCAAGAGGGCTTCCAGCAGAAAACTAGTTGCCCAGTTTATTCCAATAATCACCTTTCCAGTCAGAGCAAAAGCTCCTCAGTGCAATGAATGTGTTCATGGAGAAGTCAAAGTCTTTTACATTGACCACCTGTCTGTGTGATCCTCACACGAACAAACTTGACAAGACATCCCACCTGCTGTCTCAAACAAAAGGAGGTAGACTTGGCAAAACATCCTGCTTATCACTGACTCCAGGTGAAGGCCAGGGTGAAAACATGCCTTTCTGCTGAGAGCTAAAATAAGAAAGCAACCTGACACAACAGCAGCTCTCCATAAATCCCAAGTGTGGGATTTTAGTTGGGCTACAGTTTGTCCACACCTGTTAACTGTGGAACGAGGCTTTTGCCAGCTGGTAATAACCTTCCATGTTTGGCACAGAGAGGGGCGTAGTCTAGGACTCTGAGAGGATAAATATGAGAGCTGAGAATGAGAAGGTGTGGCGTGTAGCAGTTTGGAGAGACCAGAGACAGTGCGGTGGTTTGGAGCAGACAGAAGAAGAGAAATGCTTCAGGGAGCAGGGTGTGGAGGAGAGTGCTCTCTGTGTCTCTGGTTAATGGAGATTGGTATAGAACCCTATAAAAAAAATCTCTTAACCCTAAATAACCTGGAGCAGTAAAGGGGTCTGGGACCCTTCTCCTCACTAATGTTTTCTCTCTCCTACTTAATGTTGGGGGGGGGTTGGTGGAAGAGAGATAGAGGATTAAACACCCCCAAATAAAGGAGAATTTAAAAAAAGAGCACTACAATATCATTCCAATTTTATGGCATTCTGAAAAGGCCAGACTATGGAGATTAAATAAAGAGACCAGTAGTTGCCAGATGTTTTCACTGTCTCTTCACTGATGTGACAAATAACTAAGAAAAGCCATGTAGAGAAGGGTTTACTCTGGCTCACACTTAAGAGTCTTCAGTCTTCCGTGGTCTATCGTGGGTTCAGAAGCTTCAGTCCATCAGAGCAGGGAGGGTGTGGGGAACAGAGCAGCTCGCATCTTGCAGTGATAGCCAGGAAACAGACACAGAATGTCTTGCTGCCAGGCTTTTTCCTGTGTTCCTAGTAACTCATCTCGGCTCCTGACTCACAGAAGGGTACTGCCTGCATTCAGGGAATGTCTCTGCTCACTTTCTTTATGCAGCCGGTCCGGAAACACTTTCACAGGAAAATCCAGAGGTGTGCTTGAGTAATCTAGGTGCTTCTGAATCCAACCAAGATGACATTTCAAATCAACCATCATCTTTGATGAGTGTCAGGGGTGGGGGGGGAGATGAAAAGAGTCCTGATAATATTCGAGGCAGGGGAATTATGAGGGCGTAGAGTATATTGTGTTAGTAAACTGCCATGTGGTGTCTGAGCTAGACTGTCTCTGAAAGCAAAGATTATGCTCGGACAAGACTGCCCCCACTTCAGAGCCAAGCATGTGTCCCTCAAAGGCCCCTTGTCTGGGTACAGGCCAAGCAGCTCATGTCTTGAGAAGAAAGAGAAGGCAAACCATTTCCAACAGAGGTTTCTATTGTTTATCCCACGACATAAAAGTGCTTGCAGTGTAAAAGAGAAGCCAGAAGTTCAGCCATGCCGTCCTCATCCACAGAAAGAAAGTGCATCAGGATGTTGGTGTTACTTTTTATCTCTATTTTATTTTGGTTTCTTATACCGATTTCTCCCTTCTCCACCCAACCCCTCCCAGCACCCTAACACCAGGTAGGCCAGAAGGAAAGTTAGTGGGGAGAGGGGGAGTAGTTATTTAGGCTACTTCTGGCAAGTCCAATCTTTGTTGTTTCAGGATCTCTCCAATTTATCCCCCTGCATCAGCAGCAATCAGGAGCAGCAGGGGTGCACTGGACATGCATTCACTAGTCAAATGACCCCTTTTATCACAGTGTCTACAAACTCCAGGAAACTTAAACGTTCTTGCTGAGACCCCAGGACTGCCAGAAAAGGCTCCTTCCCCTGTCTGGTGGAATATACCGTATTTCTCAGATTTAACGCACAAGAGATTTTGAACTCTGTGGCTTTTAGCAGCTTGGCCACAATTTCTTTTCAAGCGACCAAATTTACCACAATTGAAGCACCGAACATTTTGCTATCCAAGGCTTTGGGTGACGACTGGGAAAGTTAATGGTGGTGATCTTTTAACCTAAGGCTGCTCCTCTGGCAGCTCAATTTGCTCAAGAATAACTTTTTTTTTCTTTTTCTTGAAAGGAGCCTTTTCTTTTTAACCCTTTCACCGTGGACAGTTTTAGAATTCCCAGATTGTAAGATGTTTGAAGGGGAAACATTGTCTTCCTATTGATATGACAACATTAATCATTATTTTATAAATTCTACAGTTCAGCAGATAAAAATCCAGGTAATTCATAGGGCTGAGAACCATTACAAAGCTTTAGGGGAGGAACTGGTTTCTTTACTTGTTTTTCTGGAGGTCGCCCACCATTCAGACTCATGACTCCCTGTCTTCAAACCCACCAGTGTTACTGTTTAATCACCCTCCATAGTCAAGTATCCTTTTTTTATCCCCTTCTTCAGTTTTAAAGACTGTTATCTTGGGCCCATAGAGTAACCTTCCTATTTTAAGATTGCGTTAACTAGTAGCTTTTATTCGTTGCCATGAACCCTAACATATTTTGGGGTCTCGGCGATTAGGCTGTGGACATTCTACCATGGGGAGTAAGGAGGAGCTACTCTTGAATTGAAAACTGGCTAAAAAAAAAAAAACAGTGTGAACATACTGACAAGGACAATAGTGAGCCAGTACATTCCTGAGGCCTGACCTAGTTTCTATTCATTTATCTATTTTTATTTGTCCATCTAATTTATTAATTAGGAGACGGGTTTGGCTACAGCACGGAGAACCGAACAGGTAATCCGGGGAGCAACATTAGAGGCCACGAGAGGTCAGAGTGTACAAAAGGGTGGAGAAGCGTTACATGTGCTGTGGAGCTGAGTCTGTCCACGTCTCAGTACTCTGCATCAGAACTCATGATGTCATCCCACAGGATGTCGGCAGGTGCTTCCGGTAATTTGGCTTGATTTGTTCAAAGGATGCTCCAACAATGCCTTTACGTCATCTGCAAGCAACTGGAAGGGATTTTAACAAAGCTCAAGCTCACTTTCAAACTGAATTAGTTTAGTGGTCCACGTTCTTAAGGCTTTTGCTTGAAGCGGAGAGAACACTGAAAAGAGCCACAGGATCAGAGCTGCATCCCGTCTTCCAACCGTGGTTCCGGTTTCCACCGCTCACGCTAACAGAATCCGCACGAGAGGGCGGCACCGGCGGCGCTGGCGCGGGGGGGCGGGTGGTCCTGACTCGCGGTAACGTGCTGTGCCCGTGAGCGACGTCTTCCGCTTTCATCACTTCCGTGTGTCTGCAGCTTCTGTTCCCACCCCCGGGCGCCGGAACCCGTTAAGTTCCTACTTCTCGCGTCTTGACTTCTCCGCAGAGCTTGCCCTGCGTGGCGCCCAGCGCGGGGACATGAGCGTTCCTGGGTCACCGCCCCCGGACGGGGTCCTGACCGGGCCCTCCGACAGCCTAGGGGCCGGCGAGCCCACGCTGGGTACGGCTGTTGTGCGGGACGACTGCCCAGAGGGGCCGGGACCGAGTGGGTGGGACTCCAGCACAGGCCACCCTCCTGCCTAGGGCACCTTCCTGCCTAGGCACTCTCCCGCTGCACCTTTGGTCCCGAGGGGGAAACGCACTGTTGGCTGCTGTCTGTGTTGAGGATTTGAGTTTGTGTTGTTTTTGACTGTCCCAGGATCAGTGGTTGAAGTGAGTTTGGGAGATGGTCGATTTTCAGAAAACTGTCCAGTATTGGCTACTCACGAAATATTCTGAATTACTTGGTGACGTTGCTTCAACCGATACTCCGGAAGCTGTCTCCACAGTTCCAGGAGAGCTTTAAGCATTAATGCCTAAAGGTTAATTTGCTATACACCCGGACAGGGACTGTGTATGGACATCATCGTCTTTGTGAGATTGAAACCATCACCACTCAGCATTTTCTGTGCGCTTTGGTTTATATGAGGGACCTTAGATGAGAAAAGGTTGTAGGACCTTCTAAACATAATTTTCTTCTTTCCAGAAACAGGAAGCTACAAATCACTCAGCATTTCCTGACCATGCTTTTCTTTTCTTTTAATGACGTACCCTCTTCATGACTTGTTCAATCACATCAGTAAATATCCTGTTGTACCTACTTGGAGCTTGGGCCACCTTTTTTTTTTTTTTTCTGTCTTTCTCATCTCTCACGAGTGAGAGCAGATGTCAGAGAATGAGGAAAAGAGATAGGCATAGGTGTTGCAGATAGAAGTCCTAAGCAAGCGCTCTACCACAGAGCTAGATTCCTCGCCTCAGGTGTCTGATCTTGTTCATGGTATGAGCTTAGCTCGCACATGAAACTGAAATTGCCCTCAACCCTTCTATAGATTTCCCTCTGCAGTGCAGAGAATTCTGCAGTACAGTTATTATCTCCCCTTCTGTTTGCACATCGGAGCCAATCGATGGAAAGCCGGTCTGCTTCTACTTTCTTATTCTTCCTACATTCCTCTGTCCCATTGCTACTTTACTGCCCCAAGATGACCTGCAGTCATGTTCATACTCATATCAGTAGATTTGTATCCATTTGGAAGTGGTGGTGGCAGTGAAAGTTGGTGGCATCTTTTAGGAGAGTTGTTTTTTTTTTTTTCAATGTCAGAGATTGCACACATGTTCTGTCTCAACTGTTTTCTAACAATTTATCCCATACAAACAGGAATGTGCAAAAATTAGATAGGAAGATCATGGCAGCATTGTTTGAAATAGCAAAATGTGAAAGTAATGTAATCTGTCCACAGGGGACTGGGTAACATTGCTACAGAATTTTGTTCTTTTAAGAAGAATGGAATAGATCCATATACATTACTGTAAAAGGATACTTAAGATGTAGTTAAGAGAAAAGTTGCCTTGTGTGGTGGTATATGCTAAGACGGGAAGCCGAGGCAGGAGGATCAAGGCTAGCTGGGGCTATGTTGGGCTTTGTCGTCAAACAAACAAACAAACAAACAGACAAACAAAAATAGAAGGCCTTTAGAACAGTAAAGACCATGTTCATGGCTGGGAAAAGCCAGCTTCTGGGTGTCTATGTGGAGTTAGGCCGTGAGAAGGACTGTTTTTACTTTTTTAAGTTGTGCCCTTTTCCATGGGTTTAAGTTTTTACAAAGATTAACAAAGAGAATGGGGTGGGAGAGGAAATGAAGGCATTCAGCATCTTGAGCACCCAGACTTCCTTTAGAAAGTCCCTCAGACTCTCAGACTCCATGACCTTTTGTAAGGGCTCTGTATACCCCCCTGTACTGTGCACCACCAGGGAGGAGGATTTACCTTATTTAATTGGCATGAATAAGAAGTTAATGCTTGGTAGCTGTTCAGCACATGTTCATTGTATGAACACGATAATGACCCTTTTTTTCTTTTAGAAGAGTTCTCAATTTTCCTGATGCTATGACCCCTTTTCATTGCTTCTTCATAACTATAATTTTGTTACAGTTCCGGACCACAATGTAAATATCTGTGTTTTCTGATGGTCTTAGGTGACCCCTATGAAAGGGTATTTGACCCCCAAAGGGGTTGCAACCCACAGGTTGAGAACCTCTCTGTTCTAGGACCTCCCACAATAAAGTGTATGGAACTCGGTAAAAAATATGTAAAAAAGCATTAGCTGGTATCTGTCCAACAATTAATAATGATTAAAATGGGAAAAGAAAGTTCATGAATTAAAATGTGCACATGCTTGCAGGCATCTGTGTAGCTGATTTTGTTGTTACATCTTAAAGTTGAAATGACCTTTTTTGGGTATTTCTTTCTGTTCCTCTAAAATGCACTGTCTATGTTTATTTGAAGTTGGTGTTTGTTGCACTGTTATTGTAGACAAAACGTAGGCCATGGAATTACTTGCCAAATGTAAGTTTTTAACTTCTCGTCCAAAGGCACATTAAGAGCATACTTTCCCAAGTTTCCCGCTTTCCTATTTCATTTTTTGGTTGTGGAATGTTTCTGATTAGCCCCTTTCCGTTTGAATTCTGCCTTGCATCTTTGAGAATTCCAGCGTGTGTTTTTACAGTCAAAGTTAAAATTGTACAATTTCATCTTGATTTTCTTTTTTTTAAACTTTTAAGATTTATTTATTATTATGTATACAATGTTCTGTCTGCATGTACACCTGCATACAAGATCTCATTATAGATGGTTGTGAGCCACCATGTGGTTGCTGGGAATTGAACTCAGGACCTCTGGAAGAGCAGACAGTGCTCTTAACCTCTGAGCCATCTCTCCAGCTCCTTATCTTGATTTTCTAAAAGATTGTTTTGAGTAGGACAACTTGTTTTCAGCAGCCTTCCCTGAATATAAGTCTGTGGTAAGAAGCGTGATGAGAACTGCGCAGCAAATAAGGTGTTGTAAAACACACTCTAGAAAGGAGACTAGTTTGACTTTTGAAAAGATTTATTTATTTTCATTTTATGTGTGTGTTTTGCTTGCATGCATATATATGGACTAGCCTGGTGACCCCGGAAGCCGGAACTGAACTTTAGATCCTTTGGAACTGGAATTACAGATGGTTGTGAGCTGCTCTGTGGGTGTTTGGAAGCATCCATGCTCTGATCACTTGAGCGTCTCTCCAGTCCTGCCTTAATTTGATGTTACTAGAATGGAGATGATGGCAGATGTTTCAGAGCTTCACATTAACTGTGGAATGCTTTGGGGTATGATTTTAATGCAGTGAACCTTTTTTTCCTTCAAAATGATTGTAAAACCCTATAAACATTCATTGACCCCACCTTGAAACTGTTCTTCTTTTTCTGGGAATAGTAATTGATGGATATTTATTTTAGACGTTTGAATGCCTGGAAAAGGATGAGACATCATTCCTGTCATCAGGTCTAGATTAGGCCGTGACATAGTTCTTGAGTACACTATTTCTTATAGCAAATTAAGGTACTGAGTGTTTCTCTCTCTCTCTCTCTCTCGAACTTGTGCTAATAGGCCCAGGTCCTGGGCCCCCATTTCCCAGCTGACTTTTCTAGCTTTGGCCCTGGTTCACAGAAAGTGCTGAGTCTTAATTAATAAGTGAAAAAAAAACCAGTTCCTCTTTTACATGCATATATTCTTTATTTGCTATGTATACAATATTCTGTCTGCATGTACACCTGCATGCCAGAAAAAGGCACCAGATCTCATTATAGATGGTTATGAGCCACCATGTGGTTGCTGGAATTGAACTCAGGACCTCTAGAAGAGCAACCAGTGCTCTAACCTCTGAGCCATCTCTCTACATACAAATATATTAAGCAAAATAAGTGGTCTGCATTTTTCTTTCTTTTGAGTTCAAAACAGCTATATAGGTATTGCATTTTTGCTTATGCAATTTCTTTAACAATTTTTATTTTCTTATTTGGTTGTGAGCCTAGCCTTTAAAATGGTTGAGCTATCTTTCCAGTCCTCCCCATATGTTTTTATTTTCTTTATTATTGTTATTATTGTTGTTGTTTTGTTGTTGTTGTGTGTATGTGAGAGAGAGGGAGAGAGATGGAGGAGATGGAGAGAGAGATAAACAGACAGAGAGAGAGAGAACAGTTTTCAGGAATCTGCTCTGCCTTCCTGTGGGTTTCAGGGATGGATGTCAGGGGGGTCAGGCTTGCATAGCAAGCCTCACTAGCCTCTGTTTATATAATTTATACATGCATTTCAAAGCATTAATGTACTAATTTAAGTGCCTTAACTCAGTAGCTGCAAACTCATCCTTCCAACTGACTCCTTTGATAAGATACATAAAATATAAGTTTTAAATATGCTAATGTCTATTTACACTAGACTTTGTTCTGTACCCAAAGCTTAAAAATACCTTTTTTTTTTTTTTTTCCAGTTATATTGATACACAGCTCAGGAGGCTGAGTCAGGGGGATTGAGAGTTCTAGGCCAGCATGAGCTACACAGGGAAACCTCGCCTCAAAACAAGGAAGACTTGAAACAACAAATACCTTTTACCATGTTTTAGAGAACGCTCAGAAGGTGCACATTAAAAAGGAACGACCGATATAGTTAGGCGAGCATGTGTGCTCTTAGCATCAGAGCTTCCTAAATTTGGTTTTCTCTTGAGCACAGGCTTGAGCGACGCGTCTCCAGATGAAGGGCTGATAGAGGACTTCACTGCAGAGGACAGAGCTGTGGAACAGCTGGTGGGGGGGCCTGCTATCCCACTACTTACCAGATCTGCAAAGGTCGAAGCAAGCCCTCCAGGAGCTCACGTAAGCCAGCAGAAAGGCAGCTGCACGGCAGTCAGTGATTGTGTGTAGTGTGGAAGTGTTGGCTTTTAGAACATTGAATCAGTGAGCATTCCTGTGCTCTGTAAATGGGACTCCTGGAGTTACTCGTAATCTAAATGTCCAAAGTGAAGCGAATACTGCTGGAGTCTTAGTTTCTTCATAGTTTTTGAGGTTGAGTGGTCCTTCTATGAGTTTGGATCACTTGTGTCTTTGAATGAATTGGTCTGTTTCATCTAAAGTGATCTGATGTGATCAGAGTTGTCGGGGTTTGTTGTCTTTTAATACCATGATATCAGTAGCGAAGACCGTCTCTTTCATGAATGATACTTGTAATTTGTGCCTTTTCTTTCTTGTTTGATCTGGCCAGTGGCTTATCAGTTTTATTGATACTGGAGCTTTTGTTTTCACTGTTTATTTACCCCTTCTGTTTCCTAGTTGTTTTTTGTTGCCCTGTATTTGGCAAGTTGCTGGGTGTTTTGTTCTCTACTTTATATTTCCTCTTCTGTGATCCCTAGTCTGATATGAAGGAACAAACTAGTGACCTGTTGTAGCCAGACCCAGGCCTGATGAACATATGATTGCCCTTCAGTCTCATTGCTAGTTCATTTTTCATTACAGCTCTCCATTTTGCAACAAGTTACATTATATTTTCTTTTAAAATATATTTTAGGTGACCCTTCCATGTCCCTTAACCCCGTGTCAAATTGATCTGCAGAGGAATAGGAAGGGAGTCAGCTTCTCTCCCTCCGTGGATTTGAATCCAAAGGCTAGCGAACCCTTTAGGTTGTCTGGTTTGCCCTTCTCCCAAGAGCACACAGCTGTGAGGGAAAGGCCACATATGGTTCCTGTGCCAGTTTCCACTGAGCTGCTCATTCATCGTGAGGAAATATTGTCCCTTGTACTGCATCTATTCTAACTCTAAGTCACGAAACTCTTTGTTTCTACGTTACTTTTGGGGATGCATAGAAAATTGAGTTTTATGAGCACAATGCTATAAAAGAAGAGTTTGGGGTGATAATACAGAATGTTGCTAAAACAGTAAAATACTTTTCAGTAATCTGATTATTTTAGTTATTAGGATGAAATTGCGACAGGAGTGAAGTGTAGACTTAGTTGTCAGAATATGTCTTTGAAATGTATTGGAAAAAGATACTAAGGCAAATAAGTCTTGGAGAGGTAGTGTTGGCAATTGGATTTCCAGCTTTTGCCATTAGCCAGAATGAATGTGATTCCTTGTAATGAACTAGTACTTAGAAAATGTAAAGTTTGTTTTGGCTGTGTGCTTTTGTTTCAGACAGAACCAGGTTGTGTTACTAGATACATTGGAACAAGAGATTTCAAAATTTAAAGAATGCCATTCCATGTTGGACATCAATGCTTTGGTAAGTATGATTTTGCTTATCTAGCTTAATCTTTAGAAAGGCTTTGTACTTTCTTTTTGATGATCTTATCCTTTAACTTTTATGTGTAGAATCTGACTTTTTAACAAGGAATATGAAATGATGACATAAAAAGAAAATGAAAAGTAAGGGACATTTGAGACAATGATTTTTTACCACTAAGGAATGTGCAAAAGAAAAAAATTCTCTTTTGAAGGGTCACTTCTTTAGTTTGTTTGTTCCTTCCTTCCTTCCTTCCTTCCTTCCTTCCTTCCTTCCTTCCTTCCTTCCTTCCTTCCTTCCTTCCTTCCTTTCCTCCCTCCCTCCCTCCTTCCTTCTTTCTTACTTTCAAAACATTTATTTATTGATTATGTGTAGAGCGTTCTGCCTGTGTGTATGCTGACCTGCCAGAAGAAGGTACCAGATCTTATTATAGATGGTTATGACCCACCATATGGTTGCTGGGAATTGAACTTAGGACCGCTGGAAGAACAGCCAGTCCTCTTAACCTCTGAGCCATCTCTCAAGCCCAGTTAATTTCATTTCTTAATATTTATTTATTAGTATTCCTTGTGCTGTGATGAAATGGACACATTGAGGATGAGTAGTTGGTTGGATAGTTGAACTTAACTAAACACTGATAGGAGAGGAACAGATGTTTTCTTTAAGAAAACACATGTAGCACAAGCAAGGTCATGTTGCTCCTGGCCCATTCTGGGCATTAGGAACTGCTTGTCTGCATGGCTTTGCAGAGACTCCTCCGTATCTCAGTGGACCTTTTACTGGACAGATGTGGGCTAGGATGGTTCCTTTACAATCTGTCATGTTCTCCAGCAGCAGGCAGAGGCTAGCTATAGAGAGTATAGCCTTTTCAGCAGCTGGCTGACTTCTTGGGGGGGGGGGGGCGGAGGGAGCATGGCCACACCGATCCCTTGTCTTTTCCCGAGTTCAAGCTGAGATCAGATGGATGATCAGATCATTGTTGAATGAGTTGAACAAACTAACAGAATTCTGTTGCATCATTGTGGAAGGACAGACTGAGTTTTTCACTTATTTCTTCCCTTTGCTCGAGTGGTTTTAATCCTCAGGTAGGAATGGGAACTGGAAGGCCCTGAAAGATGCATGTAGAGAGTCTGTGGACTGACTTTACCTGCAGCTACGTGAGAGGGAGCCACTTGCTCTCTCTGCAGGCCCTCTCCCGTTCTTTCTCTCCATTGTCTGAGAGTAAGGTCCCTCTTCCATTCTGTCCACCTCCATTACTCTTCAGCTTCTCCCAACAGGAGACTTCTGTTTCAACTGCAGGCTGAGGTGCAGAGCTTGTACTTTAATTCTGGGAAAGGAACACATGGCCTTTAGTGGCTGTCATGTTGTTCTGACTTGAAAAACCCAAGAAACGTGACTGAGTTTGTTGGCATTTTCTCAGGATCTGTGCCATGGCTGGTTTTCCTGACAGGAAGACACATCACCAACTGTCCTCCGCTGGCTTGTTCTCTCAAAAGCCCACTAGTGTAATTGTAATTGTGGCTATTGTAATTCTTGGATTATGTGGCATGTTTTTGAACCAGCATGTTGTTTATAACCTATTAAACACATAAATTTCTGTTTTATGTTTAATAACTCATATTTGAGAGAGAGGCAGAGATTGTGTGTGTGTGTAGCCCTGGCTGGCCTGGAACTTACTATATAGACCTAGACCTGGCTGGCTTCAGACTCACGCATATCTACCTGTCTCTGCCTCCTGAGTGCTTGGGTTAAAGGTGTGCACCACCACACCAAGCTTTAATAAGTCTTTTTTTTTTTTTTGTCAACTGAATTGAATCAACAATTTCAAAATTCTGCTAATAGTTGAATGAACTCTTGTACCATAGAATTTAAAGATGGACATAAAGGAGGAACTAAAATGTACCAGTTGAGGAAAGCTGAAGTGTAGTTAAGGTGTTGACATGTTCAATCTTGGCATTTCATTCTATGTGATCTGACTCTGTGTGAAGTTCACAGAAGCGAAGCACTATCATGCCAAGCTGGTGAACATACGGAAAGAGATGCTGACGCTTCATGAGAAAACATCAAAGTTGAAAGTGAGTGGAAAACCCTTGTCTGTTCTTTTCCAAAGTGGAAATCTGTTTTCTTCAGTGTTCATGTTTTGGCCTCTTCTACTTGATGCACAGTAGGACACTAACTCATGTGGCTCCTTCACTCGTTGTGGGCTGGTAGGCTCCTCTCTGCATATGAAGTTGCAGTTCACATTTAGCATGAACTTGGAGTAAGGTTTTTTGTTTTGTTTTAACTTAAGAGGACCTTAAATTACTCCAAATAAATTTAAAAGTTAAACATGGACTTTCTTAATATGATTCCCCACTCTCTCCCCCACTCCCCTACAGAAAAGAGCACTTAAACTACAGCAGAAGAGGCAGAAAGAAGAGCTGGAGAGGGAACAGCAACGGGAGAAAGAATTTGAAAGAGAAAAGCAGTTGACAGCCAAGCCAGCCAAAAGGACATGAGAAGCTGGGTTGTGGGTGTTTCTGACCTGTCATACTCCCTGGACCTGCAGTGCTGTACACCAAGAGTGAGGCATGGACGGTGCCTGATGCCGTGCCATGTCTTGAAGTCTTCCCCAGGGCTGCTGTGTCTCCATGGCGTCATTTTACTTCACTTCACTCAAGAAGTATTGATTTTAGAGTTTCAGTTCCTTCTTTTGTAATGACAGGTCTTTCCTGCACTGCAACACTGATTTTTGGCAATCACTTTTCATTGCTTAAAGAGAAATGCCAAACTGTCTGATCACAAATATCCTAGGAAGAGAGCCTCCGAGCCTTTGTGAAGGAAGTGTGCACACTGGAAATACTTAGATGTAGGCCAGGGGAGGCCAGGCAGATTCTTCCAGCCGTTTTTCAACACTGCTGCTCGTGTAGACTTGGGGTTCAAGGCCGGATTCTAGCCATTTCTAAAGCTGCAGTGATGGTGGGCCTGCCAGATGCTCAAAGGTGTGCATGTGTGTGTGTGTGTGTGTGTGTGTGTGTGTGTGTGTGTGTGTGTATTGTATTTTTGTGTTTTTTCTTTTTTTTTACCCCTAGAGACAGGGTCTCTATAAAGTCCTGCCTATCCTGGTACTCGCTGTGTAGACCAGGCTGGCCTCAAACTTACAGACATCCACCTGCCTCTTATTCCTGGTGCTGGGACTCAAGATGTGCAGTGCCACGCCTGGCTCTGTGCTTTTTAAAGTAGAACAGAATCTGCTGCTGCTTATATCATATGTGGTTACAGCGTGGGTAGAATGGTGGTCAGTAGTGTACGGAAGAGACAGCACGGCACCTTTAGTGCTCTCTGGATTTTTCTTCCTCGTGTTGTATGTCTGAACCTACACTGCGGGGCAAGATGAAGTCTCATTGTTGGAAATCAAGAGTTAGTGTACTTGCCCACCGTAGTGTTTAGAGTGCAGCTGGTTTCTAACGCCTGCTGTGTGTGAGCAGTATGAACTGCAAAGGAATCTGGTTAGAAAGTGCATTTTGTAATCCATGTTACACTTTTAGTAAGCTGGAATTTCTACCTCTGATCACATACTGGGCGAACAATAGATCATGAAAGGTGAATGATGCCAAGAACTTGTCAGGTTAAAGGCTTACCTATTTCTCAAAGACTCTTTTCTTTCTTTAATGAATGAGTTGTGATCCCACCAGTCACAACCTTCTGCTTAAGAATACAAATGGGTCTATTTGAAAGGCTGTTACTCTTAGTCACTTGTATGTCACTCCCAGAGCAGGAGTCACAGGACTGGCAGTGCAATGCCATTAAATTCCAGAATGTACTTGTTTAACAAAATCTCGGACATCTGACAGTAGCTGTAGATTGGTTTTTGTGTGGAGCTGGTTGTTTAAAATGCCGTTCCTGGACGCTTTCCTCAGTCTATTGAAGTGAATCTGTCCTTTGTTTATGTTGCTGAAAGTTTCCTCCAGTGATTCTGGTGTACCTTAAAAGCTAAGACAGTGGTAGCCACTGCCAAGGCTCCCACACTAACTCATGTGACCATTTTCACTTGGGAACTTGAGAAAATACAGACATCCTTAGTTCTTACTCATTAGTTTTGATGTGGAGCCCATAGAAGTTTTCGAGTGCTGCAGGTAATTCTGATGCAAGGAACTGGTATTGTAGACTGTCCAGTGGTTTACACTCATAAGCAATGGAATGCTTTCAAAGCTAACTGGTACTTTGTGGAATTAATCTTGAGAAATAAATCATTCACTGATTTTTTTTTTTTTAATCTATAATCAGACTTAAATCTGAATCTTAGCTGGCAGGAAATTAATAGAGGCCCAGTTAATTAATTGGACTTTTGACCTGTATTAAATCATGTTTAATGAATGAGTAGCATGCATGTTTTCAGAATTATATTACATTTTAAAGACTTTTCAAAAATATCAAATAGATGGGCTGGAGAGATGGCTCAGCAGTTTGGGAGCACTTACAGAGGACCCAGGTTCTAGTCCTAGAAGCCACATGGCAGTTCACAACCATCTGCAACTCCAGTTCCAGAGGATCTACTGCTCTCATCTGGCCTCTCTTAGCATCAGACACACACGTGGCACACCTGCCCACCCGTAGGCAAAACACTCATGCACACAATATAGAAACAAATAAATGGACAAAAAGAAATACAGGTTATTACCCACCATTTTAAGGTCAGTGGTTAATCAGAAACACTGAAGGTGATCAAACCCTCATTAACATGGAAACCTAATAACCAAACATCTAACCTTGATACAGTCTTGCTGTGTTTTTCAACAAATAGAAATTGGCTGAAAGAACCTTCATTTTGAAATGCTATCAGATGTGGGCGGAGCTGACACGTGGTTGTTCATTCTGAGCTGGCTTTGCCATGAGTAGCATGTCAATGCGAAGACCCTGAATGTAAGGTAGACGTGCCCTCAGTGAGCTTGGTGTGGATTCAGTTCATCGGTACCAGCTGTGTGCCCAGACACCTTTGCCTGATGTTGATCTTATAAATGAAAAGTGCTTTTTATGCACCCAATAAAAATGTCGGAATGACCCAGTGTTGTTTATCAAGCACCATTCTGTACCTAGCAGTGTGTACTACTCTTTATGTAGGTCACTTCAGACATCTATTTTACCTCACCTATTTTGATCCTCTTAGTGTCCTCCATGTATTGAATGGTCTTTACGTTTTGTGTCATCTCTGTATGTATTGAGTATTCTTTATGTTTCATGTCACCTGTGGATTGAATGTTCTTTATATTTCATGTCAAAAAATGGCCAGGTCAGGGGCTGGGGAGTTCTCTTAACTTCTCTTGCAGAGGACCCTGGTTTGGCTCCCAGCACCCACATCAGGTAGCTCACTATCACCTATAACCCCCGTTCCCGAGGCTCTGAATTCTCTCCTGAGCTCTGTGGACTCCTGCATGCCTGTGGTATACACAGTGCACTCAAGGACACAGACATACACATAAAACAACTATTTGTATAAAAAAGAAACTACCAGTCCTTTCATGAAATCCCATCCGGACAGGTGATAGGAATGCCATGAGAAGGCTGGTTGGAGTAGTTAGCTCCATAAAGTCAGCTGGTCTTAGAAGCAGCTATAAGACAGGTGCGAGAACAGCTATGGGTAATCTACAGGATGGTTGAAAGTTGGAGGCCAGCCTGGGCTACAGCGTGAGACCCTGTCAAACCCCCCCCCCCCCAAAGAAAGCATCACTTTAAGTGGTTTGGTAGAAAGTAAATCGTTGCTGCCTGTGTAATCACTGCCTTTAAATGGTAGAAGAGTTCCCGCCAGTAGAGAGGCAGCATTCAAGGCTGATGATGGCCTTTGGAGAAGGCAGGAACTTAGAACTTTCTCTGAGAACTGTGTGTGTGCATATCTCTAAGGGTTGGCTCTATAGATTTCACCAAATTCATTATATACTTCATACATGCTTCAGTAGAGCATACTTTCTTCCAAAATCGAGCTTCCAAGCATAACTGCTCATTTTAAAAGCCACTCGTGCTCTAGGCTTTTCTTTTGGATGAGAACAGTTCCTGTGTCTCGTGTTTATTCAGATCAAGCAGATGGTATCATTTCTGTTAGTTTGCTCTTGCTCGACCTGCACGTCTGCGGCTGGGTTCCAGCTAGCAGGCAAGGCAGAAACTCCATAGACGCAATGCAAAGGAATGGCAGTCAGAGAGAAGATGGGTGCATTGTGGGGAGAGCTGGAGGGTGAAAGGGGAGGCAGGTAGAGGGGAGATCCGGGCACCTTCTCTGATAAGGACAGCTTGTAGCTATGGAAAGAAATGAAGATTCCCCTGTCTTAAGCAGTAAACGGTTGCTCTATGTTACTTCACTGTAAACTGAAGAAAAGGTAGCTGCTGACTGTGGCCCAGAACCAGGGACTCTTGGGCTTTTCCAACTTGAGACTTTTCACTGAGACATTTCTATGCAGCCCCAAGTCAAATATTTACTGATAATATGCCAAAAAGAAATTTTATCATAAAACAATTCATATGTATGTGTGTCTGCATATATGTATGTGTATACATGTAGATGAAATACATATGTATTTGATTTTATTATTTGTTTTATTTTTTATTTCTGTAATAAACTATCCTGACCAAAGCAGTTTAAGGGAGAAGGGATTTCCTTTTGTCTCACAGTTCCAGGGAGACACAGTCATCATGACATGACAAGCATGGGGACAGGAGCACTGGGAAGCAGAGAGGAAAGAGGAAGTGGGGCCAGGCTAGGAAAGGCCCCACCACAGTCCTCCAGGAATGTTCCACCTCCTAAAGGTTCCACGGAGGGTTTCAGAAATGGCACTACCAGCTGGGGACCAAGTGTTCAAACACATGAGCCTATAAGGGGACATTTCATCATGTATTGGGACGCGTCATCATGTATTGGAGAGAAAAGCAAACTTGTATACGAATAAGATGGATGTGCTTTATCTTACACAGAGACTCAAATCTCGCTGCTGAACAGTCAGTGCTGCAGGGCGAAGTAACAAAGCCTCCTCAGTGGTTCTCAGAGTTACTTTTGATTTTATAATTGTCAGTTCTGAGGACCCTTTCTAAGTGTACAGTGCAAAGCAGTGAGAGCGTGTTTAGGATCATGACAGAAATTCCTGGGAGGAGGTCATTTCAAAATCCCAAGCCAAAACTCATTAAAAAATTTTAAAAGGAACTCACGACACCAATCCAAACAGCAGTTAAAAAAAAAAAACGAAACATTCTAACACAAAGACATCAGCTTAGTATGTGCTGAGGAAAACTGGTAGGAAAATATTACAAGAAAGCATTGCAACTCACAATGTACGAAAGCCAAAGTATTGCAGGCAGCGTTAGTTCTGAGGTGTGGCAGCCGTGTAGCACAAAATACATGCATGGTGTTCAGAACCAAGGTTGCTACGAGGTGTCACAGTACGGGTGAACTGTTCCAGAAACACTTCAGAGTCATCCATTGCCTGCTGGATTTTAATTTTTCTGATTGCACATTCAAAAATGTTTTACCGTTGCCAACTGTTTCATGGTCCCTACATTTAGCTGTGTGACTTCATACAGGGTCACAGTTTAAGAAGATAGGGTTTCCACTGGTACGTTTTGAGTTGTTGGCCAAGGGCATTACAGAGACACCCATTCCTCAAGCATTACATTGCTATTGCCAATACTCCTGACTACACTCCAGAACTTCATGGTAAGTTCTTACTGATGAAGACATCACACGAGTGAGTCATAGAACATGGAGAAACCATGCTGGTACTCACCAGGAAGCTTACTCCCTGCTGGGTATCCTCCATGCTTCTGAACGATGCTACGCGTGATGCTGGAGGAGAAAACTCTCAGTCTCACCCAGCTGTGGCATCTGCAAGCCACAGCAGTGACTGGCCTGACATGATCCTCCCAGGGGTGTAATAGTGGCGTGAATGTTATGGGAATAACCAATCTGTTTGTGATTGGACCTAAGACTGTCTTCATGCTATGTAACCAAAACCTAACACCCTTAAAGAGGCTTGTGGCTAGACAAGTCATAAGCCCCAGGGAGGAACCCAAGACTATCATTCTGCTCTGTCAGCATAGTATTAAAATGACTCTTAATGATTTCTGTTGATCAGAGCCTCTCTCGACTTTCAACTTCCATCAGAGAAGCATTCATAGGACTTGCACACGCCCCAGCCAGGGGGAAATAAAATCCCAGCACACAGGACAGAAAGTAGGCATACCAATCCTAGTACTGGAGGTGCCATTGGCATTTGATAGCTGCTGAGAGAGTCTGAGTTTAAAGGCAGGCAGAAGTCCCTCCTCTTCAGGACCCCTGTGATGAGAGAAAAACCCTTGGTTAGATACCCACTTCCCCCCCCCCCCCCCATTCTGTAGGGTGACCTGCTTCCTGCAAATGGTGTGTTCTGCTGTTAAGGGAATTCATTGGGTGACACCTGAGCAGGGCCGGGAAGTTTCTCGCGATTGTTGAGACGCTGTGGTACATTTTGCACCAGCACTGATTGGGGCAGCAGAAAATAGCTATGCTGGTCCTGCCACCCAGGGTGTGTGGCAGAGAAGGGCTCCTGTGCGGAGGGAAGAGAACACTGACTTTTCCAAAAGGGCGGGAGAATTCACTGAGTGATGAGGTGGGGTGTGTGATTTCAGAGTCCATGCCAGTGGAAGATCACAGATTGATTGATTGATTGATTGATTGATTGTGTGTGTGTGTGTGTGTGTGTGTGTGTGTGTGTATGTGTGCTGAAGATTGAGCTCAGGGCTTCAGAGATGCTGGTCAAATTTCTCATTAAAGTACACCTCTGATCCCTCAGACTGGTTCTCTAACAAACAGAAGAAAATAAAGAATGGAAAAGGCAGCTAGGTTCTGGCCAGTGCTAAGACCAAACAGTTCTGTGAAGATCTGGGTCTCTGGAAAAAGATGAGGACTCAAGGAGAGCAATACTGGGGACTTTGTATTCCAGACCAGGTATTTGGTGACAACATATCATGATGTAGTCCCAAAGTAATGTCTACAGGTCTATTCTGCTAATAGTTAATATATCTTTTTTTTTTTTTTTTTGACTTGGTTTATCCAGACAGGGTTTTTCTTTGCAGCCTTGACTGTCCTAGAACTCACTCTGTAGGCCAAGCTGGCCTCCAACTCACAGAGATCAGCCTGCCTCTGCCTCCCACGTTCTGGAATCAAAGGCATGCGCCACCATGACCAGCAGTTGATATTCTTTAAAACTATACTTGGGCATTGCAATCTCATTTAAATAATCTTCATGCTGGGTGGTGGTAGCACACACCTTTGATCCAAATACTTGGGAGGCAAAGGCAGGCAGATATCTCTGAGTTTGAGGCCAGCCTGCTCTACAGAGGGAGTCCCAGGAAAGCCAAGGCTCTACAGAGAAACCTTGTCTTGAAAAAAAAAAAATGTTCATAGCGTCATCTAGACTAGTATTTGACCAAATATCTAGGTACCATGGTGTATCCAGGCTGCCAAATAAAACTCACTATCACAGTTGGCTTTTGGTGTATATTTGAGTATATATAATTGAATCTAACTTTTATGACCTATCTTTACCTGTTTGTCTGTCTCTGTTTTATCTACCTACCTGTCTGTCTGTATAATAAAAATTGGATTAAATAAATACAAAGAAAACATTCTTACAATATAATTCTTCAAATCAGGACTTTGCTAGGAGGCTTGTAATCCTTGGATAACTTAAGCTACTGTTTACATGCCTAAGTACATATATAATTAAACTAACTATAATACCAGGTCCCAAGATCTTGGGAATCAAATCAACTCAAAGACAAATGGATCAGAAGGTAGAAAAATAGAAGTCATGTGTACTGTTGAGATGTATATCTTTTCACCAACTGGAGGCTTCTCAGATCTCTTAAGAATTAGCTTCAGGACGAAGTGGGCAATTGGATCCTAAGCACAGAACAGCCTTCGCAGCCGGATATAGACCACACATGGGGCAATGCTGCCATCTTGTGGTACTTTACAGTACTCGGCGCCCCTAGAACAGATTCTTCCAATAGTGTTTCACTTGCTTCGAGGACGTTCGTCAGAGCCTTTTAAAAACTTGCTTTTGTTTGTCTGTCTGTTTGCTTTTGGGACAGACTCTTATATAATCCATGTCAGCTTTGAACATAATGAAGATGAGATGATGTGTGTGTGTCACGGAGCACTTGTGGAGGTCAGAGCTCCAAAGCTTTGTGGACTTATCTCTCTCCCACACCTTTCTGTGGGACCTGGGTATTGAAGTGAGGTCACTAAGCTTTCATGGCAAATGACATTACATATGGAGCCGCCTTGTCATCCTTCAGCTACAGTTTCTTAACATGAGCGTTTGTTTAAGGGTCGAGACATTACAAAGGCGTCTGTGTCACGATTGGAAGCTGCACTTTTCTAATTTTTTTTGACTGTTCTAGTTCCATGTTGGAGTTGAGGGCTTAAAAAAATCTATCTATCCTTCCATCTTTGAATCGTCCATTCGATTATCTACCACCTACCGATATCATCACGACTTACCATAGATTATGCTTAGAATTTTTTCCCCCCCCTAGGAAAAGCGCTGAATGGCCACTGTGGGAAAAGATCCTGAAAGTCCCTATCTTTTCACCTGCCTTGCCTGATTGGGTCTGGGGTGGGTGCTTGGCCTAGGGGCAAACAACTCATGGGCAAGTTAGTGAAACACTGGCATGGCCAAAGAAGTTCTGCCTACATGGGGTGCAGAGTGGTTCTCGCTGTCCCAGAATACTTAAACCAAGTTTCTCAACTTATGGGTTTCAACCCCTCTGTAATCAAACTACGCTTTCTCACAGGGGTCACCTAATACCATCAGGAAACACAGATATTTACATTACAATCAACAATAGTGGCAAAATTACAGTCAAGAAGTAGCAACAAAATATTTTTAAAGAATAAATAAAGATCTAATTTCTTATCCCCATCTCTGGCCACATCTAGAGTCGTGGATCTACTCCCAGCCATTCTGAAGATCTGCCCCATGCTAGGGACTAGGCACATGTTACCTTCCAAAAGCACCATGGAGCTGCAGAAATGGAAGCAGGACAACGAAGTTTCCACACGTGGTGGGACCAGGGCCTGATTCTTGGAAAGACCTGAAACTACCATACCACAGCAGGATTTTCTTAATGGGAGCAGGGATGAAAATCAGCCTCAGGTTTTACTTCAATTTACTTGAATTATGCACAAGGTGAGGAGTTATATGACTATGAATTCAACTGGCTGATTTTGTGGATTCAGCCTGATAGCAAGGAAGAATAAGAGCGGAGAAGGCGAGAGTTTCCTCGGCAGAGAGCTCAGCAGCAAGACGCTTTAACCCTGGACTCTCCCTGTAGAAATGCGAGAACCAGACCTGCACCCAGGGAGCTTGGCTGGGGAGTTCCTGTGCGATCCTACTGTGACTCAGCCTGGCACATTTTGCCCACTGTGTGGTATGCTTGCCATCTGAAGTAACCAGTTCTATAAAAGAGAAACAATTTCAGATGGCCACACGTGGAGCCGAGAGAGCAAGTCTCAAATCCATCTCCCCGAGGGAGGATTTGGGGGTATTTCTTTCCCTATCCTAAGGGGTAGTTAAGAGGAGGGGTTGGGGGTTAAATCTAAATGGTTCCGCCCCCCCCCACCCAAGGATTTATCTTCCGTGTCCAAAAGACTTGACAGAAGGTGTATCATTGACATACAGGTTACCCCTCACTAAGCCACTAAAATGAGCTGATAAGGAGCGTCCTCACAGCACCAAGGAGTTTGTGGACATCCCTGGGCATGACAGAGGCTGGGAGATGGGCAGTCAATGCAATTCATTCGCTAGGAAGATGGTCAGTGAAGTAAGGTGTTTATTTTGAATCTAGGGGGGAAAAGAGACAGTCATCAAGACCCATCATCCACAATAAGAGTTAACACGTTATTAGGTAAAGAGTTACATAGTAAATGCTTTAAGCTTTGTGGGGTCGTAGGCTCCCAATAGAGCTGCTAAAAATCAGCCGTTGAAGCACAAAAATAGACACAGGTAACATTAAAGCAAATGGGTGTGGCTATGTTTTAATGAGAAATTGCTTATAAAAATAGGTGGCTGACAGGTTTTGGCTCATGGACTATTAGATGAAGGTCCCTGATCTATCTATATCTATCTATATATCGATATGCTTAGAAGATAGACACGTGGTAACGAAAGATAAGGTGAGGAAAGGTCACATCAGTCAGAAGTCATGATCCTTTGTTCAGGTCTCAGACGACTCAGTTTTCAGATGTGGAACCCACTGACTGAAGAGATGGCTCAAGGAACTACACTACAAGATGACAAGCAGACAGCATGATGATTTCCCAGGCTCCATCAAAGGGACCTGTGCCGTTTGCTTTGATAACAGTGTACTGGGAAATGGAGATAATTAGGCATTTTCAGGACTACTGGGCAAAGTATCTGAGCTGGTATTGATACTGAGCGTTGTAAAGATTTTTTGTAAAGATATTTTTAACCTCCTATTTGAATTGGGGACATGAAAACCAAACAAAAAAAGGGGGGGGGAGAGTCCTGGATACAGTCCAGCTTACAGTGGGTCATGTGGCTTGCAGATCTGTCTACTGGTCATATTTCATCTTTGGCCATCATTGGTCCTTTCATCATGATGGGTGTCTGTTGGGAGGGCCATCTCCACTGTGGCTCAGACCTGCCACAAACCAGTCCTGTTCAAATACCACCCAAAGCTTTCTGTTTTTCTCAGAATTAAGGGCAGGAAAAGATCACAGAGGTGGAAAATATGGGCTCCAGAATGCAGGTCAGTCTACAGGAACAGACTTCCTTCTTTGTGACAATATTAGAGGATACATCAAATTTGGGGTAGTGGAGGAGAGCCCAGAACACCACCACCCACCCTTGTAGTTGTAACATCCCATAAATGACACAGAGACTCTCTCTTCTAGCCTCTCCATAGGGTTTATTCCCCACATTCTCAGGGCCTCCGGCAAAAGCATCCTCTGGCCTGGCCTGCTCTGTCAACTTTGTGTTGTCTTTCTGGAAAGGATTGGCATCTTTCGGATTTCCATGAGATCCTGGTTTCTCTAATGTGAGAGAAGGCAGAAGAGTTAACATAACTGCTAGAGAGATGGCCGATAGATATCCCATTTTTTCTTCCCAGAAGGATTCAGGTAGCACCTTTATCCAGTAGCTCAGGGAGTGGGGCAGAGCTCCATGTGGCAGGGCAGCAAGTTCAAGCAAAGGAGGTGTGGATCACGACCATGGGAACTCCTAGTTATCGGAAATTGCACCGCCCACCAGAGGCAACTGGGCATGTAGGCTGTTGGAGCCGAGGTGCACAATCACAGCGAAGCACTAGCTCTGAGGCGATGTGAACGTAGAGCACCATTTTTCAGGACACATTGAATTCATTACGTTGGTGATGGGTCTCCAGACGGAAGGACACAAAGGTCTGGAAAGCAGATGTTGTGATGTGGATTGGCCTTAGCCCCCCCCCCCCCCATGACCTCTTGCTTTCATTCTAAAGGACTCGTGGCGGGTGGTGGTGACCCACCCAGAGTGAAGGTTTGGGTCATGACACTGGGTAGGTCATCAGCACCTTCCGTGGTTGTATTCTGAGGGCCAAGTTGAGGAGGTGAGTGTTGATTATGGCCCTTGGATCAAATGTGATCACAAGGGATTGCTTTTCAGCAGATAAGCACCCCAGGAAAGGGAGGCTACACGGACTATGGAGGTGCTATTCCCTGGGGCTGTGTGAAGCAGATTTTCTTTCTTTCTTTTTTGGCCCCAAAGGTATAATATAGTGGTCACGAGAATACACCTCATAGACCTAACAACAGAAGCATCAACTTCAATATGCATAACAACACTATTATTTGCCCTCTTAATTTTGTTAATATTGTATATTACATTACAGAGTGCCTAACTGACCATGTGGCCCAGTATTTTTGCTCTGAGACTCTTAACTGCATTTGTGTGGAGGCATGACTCCTGATACCTGAGCTCAGTAGGGATGCTGAGGCAGGTTCATCCCTGAGAGCCATGTTAGCTACAGTATTGGCAGCAGATGAGGTAGAACCAGAAGCAAAGACCTCTGGCTTTCAAGATGGCAGCTCCAATGTATTAGTCAAGTGGAGGCCCCACGTGACTTGACAGGTTACGTTCTCATTAATCTGGTTTCACTTGGAAAATAAGCATCTAACTTCAGCTTTTCTGCATTAGCTGGGGTGGTATGTATTCCGCCCCCTTTATTTTGTTAATAGTGTGTGTTACACTGATCGGTTTTTGTAAGTGAACTCCTCTTTGCATTCCAGGAATGAACCTTACTCACAGTCATGCTGTGAACAGTGTAATGTTTTTCTTGTGTCTTTAGAATGAATTAAGAAGTAGTCCTTCCTATTTAGTTTTTGGGAAAAGCTTGTGAAAACGTGGAGTTCTTTGCTGAGAGATTTTTTTTTTTAATTACTGATTCAACCTGCTTTCTTGTTATAAAGGACTATTTGGATGATCTATGCTCTCATGATTTAGTCTTGGTAAGTGTTGCAATTTTTGGAATTTGTCCATTTCACGTAGGTTATCAAATTAGTTTATAACTGTTCACTCTTAGAATCCTTTGTATTTTTGTAGAGTTGGTGGTTATGTCTCTGTATATTAGTTTTCTCACTGCTGTCACGAAGTATTTGACCAGAAGCAACTTAACACAGAGTTGATTTTGTCTTACTGTTCTAGGAGACACAGTCCATCACAGCAGGGAAAACATGGCAGCTGGCAGGTGTGGGAGGTGCTGGGCACATTGCATCTGCAATCAGAAAGCCAAGGGTGAGCAGAAGTCTGGAAAACCTTCTGAAATGGTGCCACCATCAGAGGGGCAAGGGCTGACATGTGAACCTACAGGAAACATTTCACACCCGGACTACAACAATCCACATTTATATTTTCATTGCAATAATTTGAGTGTTCTTTCTATACATCTCCTTCTGAGGTGGGAGAGGTCACTATGCTGCTCAGCCTAGCCTCAGGCTTCCATTTTTGCTTCAGTTTCCCAAGTAACTTGGAACACAGGTGTGTGCCATTGAACTGTGTTCTCTTTACACCTCTATCACTAAAGATTTGTCAGTTTCACCGTCTTTTCAATTTTTTTTCTCTTTTTTCTGTATCCCTTTAAAATTATGTTTACGCCTGTTTTAATTTTTGTTACCTTTCCACTTCTGCTAACTAGGGTTTAGCTTGTTATTCTTTTTTTCTGATGACTTGATTCATTAGGTAGGTTGAGTAATTGGGATCGAAACGGAAGAGTCACTTAGGGAAGGGCTAAACAAATGTAACAATATTACAGGGTTCTTCAGCCTCTAGATAGTGGATCAGATGCTGAAGGCTAAGTAGGCCAGTGACAATCACCTCTCTCTATCACCTTTGAATGAAGTTTTGATGGACATAGGATTCTTGGAGGGCATTTTGAATATATTGGCTAGCTGTCTTTTGGTCTCTAATTTCTGGTGAGAAACCTCATCACCTTATTGTGGGTCCCTTGTACGTGGGGGTCATTTCATTCCTGCTAATGAACTGGGGGGCAGGTGCATGCAATGAGAGCTTTTACCCACTGCACCTAGAACTTAGTCTTCTTTAATGCCAGGGGCCCCACCTGTGAACATGTAGCCCTCGTAATACAATCGTCTCAAAGGTCTCACCTCTAAGTACGGCCACAATGGCAATAAAATTCTAGCATGAGCTTTGGAGGGGGACAAACATTCAAATCACAGTAATAACATAATAACACAGTAACTATAAAAGCCAAGCAGCAATAACCAATTTAATACTCCTTCTATGACAGGTACAGTGCCAGTCAGTTTTAAATATTAACTCATTACATTTTACAAGGTTCCTACGAGACAGGAACTTTAAAAACAATCTACCTGCTAGGGCAGTTAACTGAGGCCAATTAGTATGTTCTCCTTGAGAAAGGTGATATGCCTGAGCCATACTCCTGCTCTGCTGCACTCTGAAATGTGGGTACTCGGCAGAACCCTTTGTGGCTGAAGGGCTGAAGGTTTTACTACGTTACTTGCTTAGACAGATGGTAGATAAATTGCGGACAAAGACCTTGTATTTACAAAGCCTATAGCAGACATTGTTCTCTTCCCCCAGTGTCTAGCACTCAACCTCTTCCCCACTTGGGATAGAGCACCCCATCGTGGCAGTACTGGTGCAAGCAGCAGGACCAAGCCTGCTCTCTTCCTTCCCTGGCTGCTATAGTGCTAGTTACTCATGTACAGTGAGCCAAGCGGACACTTTCTCCGAAGACTTGAATTCTTGCTTCTTTCGTAATTGTGGCACTCACTTTATAGTCATTTGTGGTGGTGCTGTGAATATCCAGGGAGTGGCCAGCCTGCTTCTGACAATGACCAATATGGCAAGATATACCTAAGGATGCAATAGTGGTATGTATATTTTCGGGGTAACCAATTGCTGTCTAGTTGGCCTTAAGGATAGCTTAGTAGGAAGGAATGCATGACTGGTCCTGTAAACCCAGCCAACTTCCAATGGCTGGTGAGTTCATGAACCCTAGAGGAAAACCTATTACTGACACTAGAAACAATAAAATCCCCAACTTGATTCTAAATATTTATCATTACATTCATGGATAAGTGTAGCTTTCACCCCTCACCAAAGAAGCTAACTTTTTGCATCAGAGAGAGAGAGAGAGAGAGAGAGAGAGAGAGAGAGCATCACAGAAGGCCACAGGATGTCTGCTGTGAGATAGTTTTTTCATGCCTGACAGGGAGCTACACCCATGACATTTCAACAACATGGTCATCTAAACAAGATTCTCACAATGACAACACCAGCTGACATCCCAATGTGGATGGAGTAAACCTCACAGGCCCTACCCTAGATGAAGAGCTACAGGCGATGAATGCTGCTAAGAGAGAGGGAAATCAGTCTTCTCCTGGGATGGACGTCCTGATAGGTTATCTAATTCCAAGAGGTCATCCCTAAACACGTATGCATATGAGCAACGCTGAGTGAACTCAGCAGATCAGCAGGATATATATCACGTCTGTGTATCAGTAATAAGTAAAGAGAGGAGGTCATGAATTTGAGAGAGACATACAGAAAGTTGGAGTGTGGAGAAGATAGGGTGGAAATAAATGAATTATGATGCTAACATATGAAAATCTCAAAAAGAAAAGAAAATTTATTTTTTTTAAGGAGAAAATAATAATACCAACAAAAAGATATTTGAGCTCTTTGACTCTTTAGAACTTTCCCACGTCAGGTTCATATCCCTGGCCACCATCACTCCAGCATTTGACAGAAACTTTTTTCCAAACTCTCTTCAACTCAAGGTATCCATAACTGGTTTCTTGCTTGTAACCAATTGCTGATTGGGGTGTTTTGCATTTGAAGTATCTGTGTATACATTAGTGCTTTCTGCCTGGAAATAAAAACAAAACAGAAAAAACAAACAAACAAACAAACAAACAAACCATGCTCTTCTGAGACACAGATGAAGAAACTCTGACTGCCTTGTAGCTTGATAGCAGGTTTGGTTATTTCACAAGCAGTTTGACTGTGAGGAAAGCAGCAATCTGGGAGAGACTGGAATTGCCTCCTAAAGGACACATATAAGAAAGTAATATATTCCCTGTATTTCTGCTCACTTCCTGGTGGTCTGGCAGGATGGACAAGTATGTACCGCTTGGTGCAGAATCCCCACCCCAACACCCCAATAAGTCTCATAATAACGAATGAGGATTAGTGTCTCTTTGGATGAATTACTGTCACAGCTAGGAAAGCTTACTAGGGCAGAATAAACTACTGCTCTAGCTACACGTTCACCCATTCACCCGGGGAAGCATTTGCTTCAGGGATGAGGGCGGGGCTTGCTTAATGGGCTGCCAGCAGGTGCATTTAAAGCCGAATACCAGCAGAATCGCTCTGCCTTGGCCTTACTCCAGTGTCTTCCCTTCTCCCTTCCATCCTCTACTGCTGCTCATTCCTAGCTGCCCGCCCTTCCTAGCTGGGCTCGGCATGGCTTCCCAGACTCTGCCAGTTGTATTTCCTTTCCCCCCTGAATAGGGAGTTGTTCCGCCTAGTCCCGGCCCTCTCCCCCATCATGCCCTCTTGCCATCCTTTAAAAGTTCTCTTAGTCTCCCATCTCCCGAACTGTGCATTCACTACTCTGGAACCAAGTATAGATCCAGACAGCAGCCACAGGGCTTACTTGACACTCAGTAGACAAGGACTTGGAGAATAACCAACTGATGAAAGAACGGCTGGGCTGGTGGGATGGCTCAGCCGGTAAAGATGCCTGATGACCTGGGATGCATCTCCCGGAGGAGGAGAGAATCGACTTTGGAAGTTGTCCTTCAGCCTCCACCTGTGCCTCACGGCACACGTGCACACACCCGAGCACAAGAAGTAAATCAAATGTGATGAAAATAGAAGGAAATGGCCATGGAATACATTCTCAGCCCTCGTCCTTCATGTCTGAGGGGCAGCCTCTGCTCTCACTGCTGGAAAGAAGGGTCCTGAGTGATGTAATAGAAGGAATGTGGGGGGCAATTCTGGACACTCCTATCAATGCAGTTCTCCAGCCACAAACCTCAGAACACCCCGCCAGCAAGACAGCCCTTGATTCCTTCACCAGAATCAGGGCTTCTTAATGAGGATGGGGAGGGAGGAGAGATGGGGAGTACGGTGAATGGGTCTGGAAATGTGTGTGTGTAGAGTTTTTTTTTTTGGGGGGGGGGGGGGGGGGGGCTACAATTACTGGCATTTAGAGGGTGGAAAGCAGGGATGTCGGCCTCTTGTGCTGTGTGCAGTACCATACAACAGTTAGCTGTCTGTCCTAAGGCCCGAACAACTTTTCCGGTGTCCTGCCTTTTGCCTCAGCGTTCAAGTATGTGAAACATTTCATTGGCAAAATAGATTCGGTTTTAGATAAGACTATATCAAACATTACAGATTGTTACCCAGTCTTAATACACCGTTTCCAGCAATAGATCTATCAGTGAAACACAGGTCACATTTTGTTTTGTTTCCAGGTTCTTTGCTAGTCTTACCTGTCGCTGCAGGAAGTAATGGAAAGTCACGGAGGAGGCTTACTGCAGACCAGCAAGTGCCACGGGGCAGGGCACCAAACCCCACAGTCTCCGCAGTCATGTGAACAGGCGATTTTTACACACAGATCCTTCAGAGCGAAGACGGAAAGTTTGAAATAAGAGACTTAAAAACTATCCAAATGCACAAAACCAAACAAATGCAAAAGAAACAGTTTCATCTTTTTTGTTTGTTTGTTTGTTTCTGTTTTAAAGGCGGTGGCAATGCGCGCTCTCTGAAGTTTTTTAAAGCGGAGACCTCAGCAACTTTGCTTTAACACATAGGGCCAAGGTCTCTCCGGCTTGTGGGGCGGAAAGTGACCTGTTGGGAGCTGAAACTACAACTCCCCGGGGGCCAGCAGGTTCCTGGGGAAGGTCACCGCGCTGCTCTGATTGGGGGTGGCCTCGTGTGCACCTCCAGCGTGGGAAAAGCGTCTGGGCTGCCCGGGAACAGTCGCTTGGCAGGGGTTTCCGGAGAGCCGCTGTGGCCGGGGAGTAAGAGCCACCCAAGCCTCAGATGTCCCTGCCTACTCCCGGGTGTGCGCTCCCTGCTGGGTTCCGGGGTTGGGCAGCGCCCGGGGCGGCCTTTCCTGGGCGGGAGGTGTTGGTGGGTGGTGGTGGGGAGTGGCTGTCCCCGCCCCCATCCCCCATCCCCCCCATCCCCCCCATCCCCCCATCCCCCCCATCCCCGACGGCCGGGCGGGGCCCAGAGAGGCCGGAGCTCCAGCACCATTGTAGTTTCTGCTGCGCCAGCGCTGGGGCCCACGGTGTCGCTCAGCCCGGTAAGACGCATCCCACGGAGCTCCGCCGTTCGCTTAGGGACGCTGTCACTCCCCATAGCCCGCTCGCTGTCCCCGCTTGGTCCCTGCGCCGCCTCGGGCTGCCTTCTCTTCCTTCCCAACCCGTGACACCCGTCCCGCCGCTTGAACCGCACGGGTCTAAGGCTCCGTCGGCGGACTCCAGAGCTTTCTCGGGAGCGGCCGAGCCACAGCGATGCGGAGAGGATGGCCCTGGCACCCTCCCCAACCACATCACTAGGACCCGTGGTCTCGGTGCGTGGGAATTTCAGGCGCGTCGGTCCCACTTGTTGGCTGTCACTCAGCACCGAGCGCAGCCTGCCAGGGTTGAGATTGGCTTTGGTCAGAGAATCTGGGGGAGGTGCCCAGGGCGCTGGGGGTCAGAGGAGGAGCCCAGACCCGGGCTGACTGGCAACTGGTACAAGGGAGAAAAGGCTCTTTGGCGGAACTTTTTCATCTTTCTTTTACTTACGGGTGTTTCTAGGACTCACAGACGGAAGCTGAGCCAGCGAGTTTGCCTGTGCATCCACACAGGGTTCTGACCAATTTTTGTATCAGGTACTTTAACTAGTTCTGAGTTTGGGGGAAAAGTAAGGATTCTTTCTCAGAGATTTTTCTTTTTGCTTTAAATTTTATTACTTTATCTCATGTGTGTGGTTATTTCGCTTCGATGTATGTCTGTGCCTTATGTGCATACCTAATGCCTGAAAATGGAGTTATACATGGTTGTGAGCTGTCATCTGGGTGCTGGGAATCGAACCCACAGTCCTCTGGAAGCGTTCTTAACCACTGAGCCGTCTCTCCAGCCCCTTTCAAAAGACTTTTAAAAGCATAAAATTAAATGTAGACTATGATGAAAGAAAACAGCTGCTGAAGTATTAAAGGAATATCATGTAATGTATGTTTTAAAAGGCAAATAACAATTACAATTCTGAAATACTAGGGAATACAGAATTCAAGATATAGGCATCACTTGTAACGGATGAAAACACCTTTTAAAAAGTCATAAATACTGCTAATATTGCTTTGGCTGGTTGCCTACACAACGCTTGAAGAAAATGCCAAATTTCAAATAGATGTCAGTGAAGGTAATGGTTTGATCTTTTATCCAAGTTAATGGGCCCCAATTTAGATAGCTACCCTGTTAGCAGAAAGGGTGTTGCCTTACTAGTTAGGCAACTTGGCTTCTAGGGTTTAGCGGTTCCTTGAAGTGTTACTACTGTGCCACCATGATGGCCTCTATTCTGGGCTTCTTTGGTCACCTGCTTCTCCTAAGGAGGAGAAGAAGAAAAGACCAACATCCTCCCTGTGCCACCTCCCCTCCGCCCTGCAGATGAAACAAGCCTAAAACCTTCCCACACATTAAAGCTCCCAAATCGTACTTGTTGCATTGGGACACAGTATCATTTTTTAGACCATATCTGTTTCTCTTCCCAATACTAGCCATCACCCTCGTGTCCTTGAATATGGCACATCAAAGGTCTGACAGATGGCTTGGAAGTGGTTGCTTGTGATGTCATCAAGGAGGCTTGGGAAACGACTGTTTAAAATGAACTACTTCTTTGGAATCTGGTGGAGCAAATCCAAAAACACATCGGGCCTTGGGCGTCCGAAATGCCTGTGAGAGCCTTTGGGTCTGCTGTGGGTTTGGTGCCTCACTGTAGAAAAGAACTGTTTTGATAGGAAAATAGGATTCCAGAAGTTTCTTTTGCCAAGGCGTAGGCTTGTTAATCAGATGTGTTGTAAAGAAAGGAGACATAACCCATGACAAAGCATTTCTATGTGTACATTTCTTTTTCTCTCTTTTTCCTCCTTGTTCCTCACTCATCACAAAACTCTTTGACTCTGGAGACTTGGTAAATAGGAGACTACTGCATAATTTACTAAAAGCTGCCCAGACTAGGCCTTAAAGCCAACTAAACTTCCATGATAGACAGTGAGACCTTTCTTTCTGTGGAAGTGTTGGTCTTGTAACTGGGTCTGTGCTTCTGTGCACATTCACATGAAAGCCACCCTACCCTTCAGCTGTGTAAGTTTGGATGATTACCATGATCGCTCAGATCTAAGCTTGTTTTCAATCATAGAGAGAAAGCCTTTAAGCTTAAGGGAATTCACATCCCTTTCTCTTATATTCAAATCAAACTTCTACACTCAAGGTGACCTATCCATGGTCCAATACAGCCTCCACTTTCTTGCTTATAAAATGAGGTCAATAATTCCCTCCTCAGTGATTGTTATGAGAAATTACACAAATTACACATTACAATATCTCCCACAGAGTAAATGCTCCACAAATGGTCCCTGCCCCCCTTACTGCCAATGCTTTTCTTATGCTTTAGACCACACACTTAACCATACCTTCTTTCCAGAGAATCGTAGTGCATAATGGTACAGGAAATGGGACGTCTGGTTTTTATTCTGATTTGTTGTAGGCCTAAGTATTCAACCTTGGCATTCTTTGCCACAGAAATTCTATCTGAGAAGTCAGTAGACAAATATTCCTATTGGAAGTCTTTTGTGGATACCCACCTCTCCTTCCTCCTCAGCGAGAAGCAAATGCAGTTTTAGGAAGCATCTAACCTAGACCTTTTTCCAGTTGTGAAGAAAGCATGACCCACAATGGTTAAAGATGAGCCCTATCTGGTACTACCTGAAGTGTGGACCTGGGTGGTCCATGTCTTCAGACAAAGCTTCACTGTGAATGGGGTAACTGTGCCATCAGGTCAAACATTGGAAGGATGTGAGTTGTTAGGGAATCAGACACACTTGCTACCCATGTGTATCTCATTGTGTCCTAACCATCAAAGGACTGAATTCAGCGTCTAGACTCAAGCGACAGATGTATAATTTGTAATCAAAGAGACTTTTCTCATTGAGAGCTTATGAGCTGGATTCCAGGTAATGGCAAGGCAAAGTAATTGACCAGTTTGTTTACAGGGACACTTCGCCCTTTGTAACTTTCTTACATGTATGTTTGAATCCCAGTGTACTTTGCTCTGATGAATAGTTTTATTGTGATCATTTTAATGATTCAGGAAGCCAGGTGTGGTGACTTAAACACCTATAAACCCAACATTTGGGAGATGGCTGTAGAAGTCTTAGGAGTTCAATGTTATCTTCACTTAAGTATCACCTTAGAGGCTTTCTTGGGCTACATGACAGCCTGCCTCCTCAACAATCCATCCATCCATCCATCCCCCCCCCCCATCCATTCCAAAGAAACAAATACCAGATTCAGGAAAGCTGAGCCTAAGCCGATTTTTGCTGTGTGTTAGTTCACTGGAGACTTCCATTTCCAGAGAATCTGTAGCCGGGCTGATACAGGTTTGTACAGACCTTGATAGGAAAGCTGCCTAGAGGGCTGCTGTGAATGATGTAGCAGAAGTGGAACCATTTGCTCTTATTTATAGTGTTTCGACTGTGAGGAGTCAAGTTCCCCTGGCGATTGGAAAATGGGAGCAAGCTGAAAACAGGGCTTGCTTTTTTTTTTTTTTTTTGTGGGAGCCAGTCAAAACCCTTAACTTTCAGTTAAAACAATCCAGTTCACTAATGGGCAATTTTTTTTTTTTAAGTAAAAAAAAAAAAAGAACTTTCCTTAATTTACATAATTTTTGTTTTCTGGTTGGTGAAATCATCAGTTTTGCCATTAGAATGCTTGTTTTGATTATAAAACATTACTAAGTGCCTAAGCTTGGAGGGAATTTCTCAGCAGGAAAGGGTCACTGTTACACTGCGAAGCCCTCATTAGTAATTCTTTCATTTTTCTTTTTATTTTAGATATTATAATTACGTTATTTTCCCTTTCCCTTTCCTACCTCAAGCCCTCCCATATGCCCTCGGGGCCTCTTGTTGTTACATGAACATGTGTGTGTGTGTGTGTGTGTATACATAGATATGAACACCTTATACATGGTACCTTATATGTCTGTCTTGTTCAGCTCATGTTTAGGCAGTCAGGTTGGTGAGACTTTTAAGAGTATAGCTTCTGATATTACTAGGAGACACAATCTTACAGCAAACTCCCTAATCCTCTGCCACCTACAATCTTTCCATCCCTTCTTCCAAAATGTTCTCTGAGCCTTTGGTGTGAGAGTGTCTTGTAGATGTATCCATTGGCACTGGGCTCCATAACTCCGTATTTTGGTTGGTTGTGATTTTTCTGTAGCGGTCTCCATCTGTAGCAAATAAAAGATTCCTCGATGGGAGCTGAAGACTACATTCCTCTGTGGGTAGAGGGACAAATGTGTAGGATTGGGAATTGTGTTGGTTTAGTAAAGTAGTGGTTGTAGGTTCTCCTTTGATATCCATAACCTTACTACTCCAGAGTAGCTGGCTAAGTTGCCACTACCAGGCATGGTGTCCCTCTTTGTTGAGCTGGTCTTAAATCCAACCAGAGAGATGTTGATTATCACCAAGGAATGTATACCACCACTGCACCCTTTGGGTTATCATGCCATGGTGGTTATTGTTCTGGTTGATAGGTGTCACAACTGGGTAGGATTGTTGTTGGTACCTATTAAAAGATAATTTTTACAGGCTCCCTGAAGAGTGAAGGAGGAGCCCGATGTAGATACAGGCCTTATAAAGAGCTGTATGAAATTGTTCCTGTTTTTTTTTTTTTTTTTTAAACAGCTTAGTTTTGGTCTACAACTGGAGCTCTTGCTTCACAGCTTAACATTCAAGCAAATGCTTGGGTTTATTGAACTCCAAATAGGGAGTTCTTATCATGACTTGCAGAACGGGGAGAAGATTGCTTCATTTCCTTTATTTGTTAACAACATAGTAATCCAGTTCCTGAATAGG